TGTCCGTCCGCTCTCGGACGGCACGCGTCTCTGCCGCGGGCCCCACGTCGCTGCTGACGGCGGCTGCGGGCGCTCCTGCCGGGTCTTCGTTATGAACCGATTCCCGCTTCTGCTTCTGCGTCCTCTCGCCAGAACGCGACGCCACGGCCCAACCCGGCAGACCAAGTCTCTCACGCTCTCCTCATGAATAGCACAAACGTTCGGCTTGCCAGCGGGGGTGCGGTCACCTGGGGGTGCCACTCCAAGGGCCCCTTCAACACTCTCACGGCCGGTCACGGCACCGCACGAGCCCAGAAAGGTGGGCTCCCCTCCAAGGCTGGGCCCGGCCCCGTGTTCGTAGTCCTGTCTGGGACGGACGGCTGACATACTGACTCCCGGGCCGGGGCCCACGGCCGGCCGTGGGTGGGGGTCGCCGTCCAGGTCGAAAGGCACCTTTTGGTGTCGCTCAGGTTCTGAGGCCTCGGCAAGACCAGAGCGCTCTGCCGGTCCGCCGGCACGGACAGAGGCTGCTCGCAGCCAGCCCTCTGCAGGGCAGTCCAGGTCACCCATCTGTGCGTGAGGAGGTTTCCAGTTCCGCAGAAGTGTTTTTCTCAGAATCGTAAGCATCACTTCCTGTAGCACGGAACGCCATGTGTAATGTTGAGATTCTTTTTTCTCTGTTTTTTAGCCCATTTGGATAAAAGTAGGCAGGTCCTGGTTTGGAAATCTGATCGAGTGCAGCTTCCCTCTCCAGCCAGGAAGTGTTGAATCCTCAGGTCGAGGCGTCCCCCGCACCCCCCGAATGCCGGTGGGTCCGTACCCTGCATCAGAAGTCAGACGTTTCTGGGTGCTTTCCATGCTCTCAGTGTCCTGTTCCTCCTCTGCAGGTTCACGATATGAGAGCAAGATGCAGACATTACTGGGTTCTCCCACTGTCCACGCCAAACCGCGGGAAAGAGGATTTCTTGGCGTCCTTCATCCTCATGGCAACAGCCTGAGGGGGTGGGCAGCCTGGGCTTCGGTGCACAGAGGGTGGCGGCAGCTCTGGAGGTGGCTGGGCCTGGACAGGAGGGGCGGGCTGGGGCAGGGCAGTGGCACCTGTGGTGAGGCTGGCTGAGGGGGTGCCCTGCCCCCCCGAGGGGCGGCCAGGACCGAGTGAGCTGGGGCAGGCCATTGGCCTTGCCGCTCTGGTGCCTCCCCCCGCAGCTGTTGCAGACAAAAGGCCTGGGTCCCCCAGCTGCTGCTGCAGCTCTGGCTGGCATTTCCAATCAGATGAAACACCCTGGTTTTTCACACTAAACCTCTTCGGTCCCATGCCCCACCCCTCCCGCCCGTGCGGGTTCTCACGGGAACAGGCTGTGGACAGACCCAGAGTCCTCGCCCCCCCTCCCCTGAAACGGGCAGAGGCGTAGTGTCCATGATGTCAGGGAGCCTGACCGGAGAACACAACTCACAGCCATCCCGTCTAAGCATGGGCCCGGACTCCGTCCTGCTTGCCAAGCTGCAGCTGAAGTGGACCCGTGGGGTGGACAGGGGACGGCTCCAGTGTCAGCTCAGATCTCCCGGGTAGGAACACGCAGGACAGCGGCCCGTGCTCCCCCCTCAACCGGGTCAGCTTCTCCGTGGTGCTCCCTTTACCATGCTGGCCCCCAGGACGCAGCCCCACGGGGGGCAGGCGGGGGGACGTGGTGACCGCTCCCTACCTCGGGGCACTTACGAGGGTTATTGGGGATACTGCAGGCAAAGCTCTCGGCACAGCCAGGCGCATACCAAGCTCTCAGCGGTGCCGTGGCTGTCACTGTCTCCTGGAACTACAGCACCCGCCTTGGGGGCCCACACCCACACACAGCTCTTCTCCAAGTTGGAGCCGCCGGTGTTCCTCCCCTCAGTCAAGGTGAGGCGGCTGGCAAACGTCTCTCCCCCTGCCCCCCGGAGCAGCGCTGCCTCCCACCCCACAGCTGGCCAGCGGTGCTGGCCTCCCGCGTGGCGCCCGGTTCTCCACAAACTGCCACGGTCACGGAACCGGAGGGGATTGGACACGCCCTTTGGAAAAGTGGAACCAGCTCCTACGGGCACAGGGGAGCGGGAAGGAGGGTTTCAGCAGGAGTCACGGTGCATGTCGGCAGGTCCGCGCAGGAAGAGCAGTTGGCGCCGGCCCGAGGAGGGTCGGCGATGAGCGGGGGCCTCCCAGTCGCCGGCACAGCGCTATCAGTGGAGTTCCAGCTGCGCGGAGGGGGGCGAGATAGGCCCGGGCAGTTTCAGGGTCGAGATGCGGCACTCAGAGGCGTCCGTTTCTCTTCTACTGAACAGTCGTGTTTAATCTGTGGCTCCCCACGCGTGAGCACCTTCCGCAGGGACACGGCGGGGGCCACGCCGGACCGCTTCTCTGACACAGAGAGAAGGCGGAACGGTCAAAGAATTATTTTTGCCTATATATAAATAACCAGCTCGTCAGCGGTGACTCGGTGCCAGGCTCCGGGCCCACGAGGCCGTGGAAAATCCAAACGAATCGTCCCAGACCCCTTGCCCGAGGCTGGAGGAGAACCGTGTGCCTCAGATGGAGGACCGAGCTTTTGGTCTGAGAGCCACGAACCGTCTCTTTGAGCCCAAAGGGGTGACGTGAATTAAGAACGACTTTGGGCTGTAGAACAACGTCTTACCCTGGACCCAGTGGAAAAGGGAAATCGCAACCTCTCGTGACATAGACAGCTAATACGAGACGGAGAGGCAAGAGGATAGGAGGTAAAAATCACAAGGCAAACATTCTTCCCAAAGTAGCGACCGGTTAGATACTGGGAAACGGGGCTCTCCTACCCGCTGGGGGGAACCGCCCTGCCTGGCGGCCTCGGGCCCTCCCGGCTGTGGGGCCCGGGGGTCCCCACGTGACCGGCCCTTTCTCATTGGCTGCGAGAGGTGAGTCCCAGACCCCCTCTTCCGATTCGTTTTGGGTAATGGCCACGCACGCCCATCTGTTCTCCATGAACACAGGGGGCCTCCACCAAGGGGCGGACGGTATCAGGTAAAGCTCTTGCACGGTTGTCGGGAGCCGACCCACAGCCGACCCTTGACACAATCGGGACGGATGAGACGCATCCGCACAGCAGAGGCGACTGTGGCCGGGTCTCCTGTCCGTCTCCTCCTGTGTGCCTGTCCCTGCCAGCAACAGGGGGTGGGGTTTTCGGACACTAGTGCTTTATAACAAAAAATCTGCACGATGCCTCTGATTCTGCGCAAAATGACTTATTGATCACAGAACAGAAATCCCTAACAACCCTAATGCCGCCTGCTTCCCCCGCCTGGGAAGTTAAGGACAAAATTAAACTAAGGGCAGACCAGCTGCCAGAGCGCTGGAGGAAGCTGTTGCTAGGAATGCCCTTTAAGGAGTTAGCCTTTAAAAGCTCAAGATTTATTAGAGCCACTACCCCTCCCCTACTCTAGACAGGAGTGTTTATTGATGGGACCAGGTGGGTAAAGAAGGAAGGAGTTTTAATTAAATATAATAATCTCAATACATGGAAACGAATACAAAACATGGCCCCCCCAAGATGTATAAGTCAATAGACCTAGGCAAAAGACCGTTTATCTAACTTAGACAATCTAACCTCAATAAACAATAACTGACTTTTAAATCACCCCTTGCACCCTTTTAATTTAGACCAATCCACAGAACCTTAGTAGACATCTAGTTATTAATTGGCACCTCAAAGTTTGTGCCCGTACAGCTTCGTTGGCTAGCTGATTGATAACCCTCTCGGTCAAAATAACCTTTGTTTAACATGATTGATCTGTAAAACCTTCTGCACTTTTCGAAGGTATTTCTATGGTAACCGTTCCTGTTTTAATAATCACACCCTGCACCTGCGCCGCTGAGTGCTGTGTAACCTCCCCTATAAAGATAAAGATGGATTCTTCTCAGGCAGTCAGCCAGGCCCAGAGAGCCCGGCTGTGCTCCGGCACCCCGCTTGGCGCCTGTCTCCTTCGCCGGGCCGCCCCTCCCTCGGGGACCCCGAGACCCGCCAAGGCTGGACCCCGGCCGACAGTCGCGCCAGGCAGTGCACGGCAGTGGGGTTGGCCCTTTGGGGTCCTGGAAAGAATGACGAGGTCATGTTCATAGAACTTGACCAGGGAGGAGGCTCTGTTTTCGGCCAGTGCTCGGACACACGAGTCAGCGCGATGCTAAGAGACCCGACCCAGGAGGAGCCAGGCAAGGGGTGCGGGCGAGGCCGTGGCAGGGAGGGGGGTCACCGTCCAGCAGTCCTTCTGGCAGCGGCGGCCTGTTCCAGCCCCGGGTATTCTGCTCACCACTCGTGACAACACACTCTTGACTCTGTCAAAGCCGGGCAAGGAGGAGAGGTTCTTGCCCGCTCTCTGCCCAAGAGCTCCCCTGACACAGGAGGGGGCCCCAAAGCACCAAAACCAAAACCAGGGGCTGGTGGCCTGGCAAGACGGGAACACCTCTGGGGCGGGCGGGGCAGCCTCTTCGTTATAAATCCTGCTGAGTGCTCTTTTGTTTGGATTGGAAGGCAAGCATATCTAAACACACACACACACACACACACACACACACACACACACAAACGGTTTCCGTCTCCTTCTGCCCCTCCGCGGAGTGAGGGTGGCAAGGTCCGGATCCCTGCCCAAGGAAGCCAATTATGAAAAAGCTGGTACACTCCAAGCCCCTTCTGTAAAATGAACAGCATTAAACAGTATTCACTTAAGGGAAGAAAAAAAAAACAAACAAACAAACATCTGGACAGAAACACCACAAACTCCGTGGCGGTCGTCTCCAGCAAGTTCAGATTCCAGGGGTTTGTAACGTCCTGTGTTTTGTGTCTGTCCATGACGTCTCGATGTTTTAGCAAAGCGCGTGTGCTGAGGGGGTCATCGGAATGGCAGACAGAAAGTTTTTCAGAAGCGGCAGCACCCGCCCCCTGCACCCGTCACTTTCTGCTCTGTCTAAACAGCGAACATCTGTGGGCGGCGCCACGCCCTGCTTCCAGGAAGCGTGCGCGCGCGTGCATGTGTGTGTGTGTGTGTGTGTGTGTGTGTGTGTGTTTAAGAGATAGCAGTCCTGTGCGTTTGAGAACCGAGACGCCAAGCGCTGGACCTTGCGCGAGGTGGCTCAGGCGTCAGTTACGGAGGGAAATGGAACAAGAAGGCAAGCTGTGTGATTTCGTCTCGTGTGCAGGACGGTAGCTGGTGCTTTGACTCTCTGCGGCGGCTGCGCTGCTTCCGTCGTCTTCGAGCACAGGAACACAGACTCGGTGGGAAAGGCAGACTGGGAACGAGGTGAGGCGAGTGGTCTGAGCACCTGGGTGGCTCTGATGGCAGGGGAAAGGAGGCCGCGCAGGAGGGCTGTGGGAAAGGGGAGGACCGTCAGGGTGGGCTTCCCGGAAGGGGTGGGGATGTTTGGGAGCAGGGGACAGTGAAGAGGGGGGCATCGGAGAGGAGGAAGGCAGATTAAGTAAGAGCGTAGGAGAGCTCACTGGCCCAGGCCAGAGTGGGGCCCAGGTGCCCTGTCCCCCTCTGCCCCGAGAGAGGCTGGGGTCCCCGCCTGGGCTCCGACGGAGCTGCCTGGGCAGCCCAGCCTATTCCAACTCTGAACTCTGCCCAGCAAGTTCCACTGAAATGCCAAGGCAGACCAAAGGGCAGCCGGGCTGGAGGCAGATTGTCTTCACGGAAACTCACGCTTCCTGAGGGCCCAGAGAGCGGCCTGTTGACTGCAAATACGTGAGCAGGCGGAGGCGCCGTTCAGTGGTGCCTCTGTGTGCGTGTGGGGAGCGGGGCTCCCGCCCTTGTGCACACACAGCAGTGCACACCTCTGGGCCTGGGAGCTTCCCCCGGCTGGGGTTCGGACAGCGTAGGTCACTCCCCTCCGGGAAGAAAAAGAGAGGGGACAGGAGCGGAGAGGGACGGGGCCTTGGGGCTCTTATTCACCACCACCACCACAAACTTGGCTCTTGGAATTGAAAAGCCGGGGGCTAGGGCTAGCTTCAGGTACAGCTGGACCCAGGGGCTGGAGTGAAGTCTTCAGGACGTAGTGTCTCACCTTTCAGAGGTGGGACACTACAATGCAGTGAGGATGTCATTTAAGGGCGATGGTGTTAAGCCACAGTGTTGTGGAGAGCATTGAAAGCCAGGTCCCCCCTTCAGGACAATATACCTGTGTCAGGTACACATCCCTGCCGTACAGAGTTCGGTCCTGCCCGTGCCTGTGTAGTGGGCAGAATTGTCCCGTTTCTTCCTGGCCTCACAGATTCATGAGAACTTGCCTCCCACGGGCTCAGCAGTGATGCAGGAAGGGACGCCTCCCCCTGTCCCTGGGGAGTCCCTCCCGGGTCCCCAGACGTGGTGCGGGTTGAACTCCGGGGTCATAAAAGCTGTGCCGGGTGTCTGGACCCCCTGCTCGCCCCCGGCCAGCCCTCTCCCTTCTCCAGGCCCCTCCCGGGGTCCTGCCTGGCCACCCCCCCTTTTCAGCGGTGGGCCCCGACTTTGTCTTTCAGCTGAGAGGTCTGCCTCATGGAGGACAACACACCAAGACCCCAAGAGTCCGTCGCTCTCACATCTGCGTCCAGTGGTCCGGACAACGTGGCGGCTGAGGTCTTACAAGGCCTGGTCTGTGTCCTTCCCCACCCCCATCTCGGCCCTGTAGTGGGAGGGGTCTTTGTTCCCCCATTTCCTTCAGTCCACTCTCCCCTGTTCGCTTAGCCGATTGGGGCCGGCATCCCCTCCCCTCCGTGTGTTGGTCTCCTCAGCACAGGGCAGCCCCTTACGTCACCCACTGAACCCACAATGTGCCAGCACAGCCGCCCCCGGCCCGCTGGTCTGAAAGGGCCGTGACGGCCTCAGCCGGGATGAGCCGTGTGAGCTGTGATTTAAAGGATGAGGAGAAACCAGCTATATGGGGGGCAGGGTGGGGTCTCTGTAGAAGTCTCAGACTCTGCGGAGCTGGTGAGCGTGTCCTTGCTCTGGCATGGCCAGGGGGCCCCGTCACCCGGAGCTCCTGGAGCCAGAGAGGACACCCCCTGAGAACACCCGCCCCCCTTCACCGCACTGCACAGCCCGGGGGGCGCCTCTCAGCTTGTGACCTGCAGGTCAGAACACAACTGGGGCCACTGGTGTCCGGGGCCGCGTGGCCAGGCGGCCCCAGCGCAGGCACAGCCGAGCCCTCGGGCTGACCAGGCACTCCTGGAGGGCGGGTGGGGGGGGTGTGCAGCCCCGAGCCCGGCAGGAAGCAGGCGCTGAGTGTGTGCTCTGCAGAATCTAAGTCGCCCCCTAGTCACTTCCCGTGCGAGAGCCCAGGCCCCACCGCCGCCTGCTCCGCGCTGCCTGTGGGCTGGCAGCCAGGGCCTCTCCCCGCTCGGGGGTTGCAGGAGGGGGGCGCTCTGGTTCCCACCTGGGGCAGCAGACTCACTGTGGTCGCTCTCCGGTGGCTTTAGGAGGAAGGCCGGACCCCCGGCAGCGACGCGAGCCCCGCGGTCGGCAGGAACAGCGGGAGCGCGGCCGGCCAGAAGGCCCGCTCAGGATGGTAGGTGGTCCCCAGGGGGGGACGTGGGCCGGCTTGGGGAAGGGGCACCCCGGGGAGCAGGGGGCTGCGGAAGGAGAAACTGCGCTTCCGCCAGTGAGTGCGCCCCGCTGGCCTCTCCCTCCGGTGAGCGGGGCCAGGGGCCCCCGACCTGCTTCGTTCGAAGCAGCAGCGGCCAGAGTGAAACCCCACGGGAAGCCCCAGAATGGCTGCGGGGCGGCTCTGGCTGGCGTTGGGTGGGGTCCCCAAACCAGACTGGCCCTCCCCTCAACCCCCCCATTCGCCTTCTGTCACACACCCCTCCGGGCGCTTTGGGGAACACGGAGGCCTCCCCTGAAAACCCCTGGACATGGCCGGGCCCCTGTTTTCGCACGAGAAGGCCGAAGCCCAGAGAGGGAGAGGGGTGGGCCCAGGTCACACAGCAGCAGGTCGGAGCCTGGACTCGGCCCCCCAGTGCCTAGGCCCACTGGGGTCCTCGCCGGCCAGTCCTGGGTTGAGGGGATCATGGAGGGCTGGGGGCAGGGGGTGGATTCCATCCGCCCGCCTGGGGGTGGGGGCAGAGTGAGGAAGATGCGCTGGGGAGGGGGCAGGGGGGAGGGAGGAGAGGGCCCTGGAAACTGCCGCCTGATGAGCTCTGCCCGGGCATCTCCTGCCCGGGGGACAGCCTGGGGGACCCCAGAGGCTGTTCAGAGTCCAGCCATCATGGCGGGGATAAGCCAGTGACCCAGAGACCAGGCGAGAATGGGCACTGTCAGGGGGCCTGGGGGGCGGGGGGGCCACCGCTGCTGGGTGCGGGGCAGGCTGTCCACGCGTCCTCCTGGGGACAAGTGTCCCGGGCTCCAGGGGAGAGTGATTGCAGGGCTGGGAGCCTCCCTGCCTCGCTCTGCGGACAGGAGGCAATGGGACGGGGCGGGGAGGCAGCCGGCAGGCCGTGTGCCTGTCGGGCAGAGGCACCGAGCGGCAGGAAGGCATGGGTGGCCGGGGCCTTCCCTCTGTTTGCTGCGAGCTGGGGTTGCTCTTCAGCCCCGTGGGGTGTCTAGGCCAGCGCCTGGCTCTCCCCATGTTGCCCTTTTACTGGGCGGCTTCCGCCTGGAGGCAGTGAGGATCCCCACAGGGACGGGGGTCTGGAGGCCGCTCCCGGACCCTCTGGTCTCTTCTCCCCAGGAGGAGACTGCGGCCAGTCCTGAGAGCGAGGGACTTCTACAGGGAGCACGCACAGCTGTTTCGATGGATCGGCATAGGCCTGCTCTGCACTGGTGAGCCCAGCCCCTCCCACCCCACCCCCCGTTGCAGCCCCCTCCACCCCGGCCATCCGTGTCTCAGGGCAGCGTCGTCAGAACTGAGGCGGACCAGGCCTTGTTCCCAGGGCACCATGACCAGTAAGGGAGAGGGCAACAGCTGGTGCCGCATAGTGCAGCAGCAAGCCGTCTGAGAGCACCAAGAAGGGGTAGCGGTGATCTGGGAGGACTTCCAGGAGGAGGTGACATATGAGTCTCCCAGGCTGAGCAGGAGTTAGTTAGGTGGAGAAGAAGGTTGATAAGGAGTGAGAAGGCGCTCCATGCAGAGGAGCCCCAGGAGCAAAGATGAAAGCGGGCAGGGTGTGGGCAGGGCGTGGGCAGGGCGTGGGCAGGGTGCTGGCCAACAGTCTGGTGTGGCTGGAGGGTGATAGGGGTCCCGGAGGGCGAGGCTGGACGGACGGGAAAGGGCTGGCATTGTGTCAACGCAAGGAGGGCCAAACCTGTAGAGAACTTTTTTTTTTAAAGATTTTCTTTCTTTATTTTTAGAGAGGGAAGGGAGGGAGATAGAGAGAGGGAGAAACATCAATGTGCAGTTGCTGGGGACCTGGCCTGCAACCCAGGCATGTGCCCTGACTGGGAATCGAACCTGCGTTGCTGTGGTTTGCAGCCCGCGCTCAATCCACTGAGCTACGCCAGCCAGGGAGAACTTTTATAACAATTTATTTCAGCCAAACAGAGGACACATCTGGTAGCAAGATCTCAGCAGACTGAGAAAAGTGCTTCTGAGAATAACAACGTGCAGTCTCTCTGACGCACTTGAGATCGAAGGGGACACAGAAGGGAGAGCGCATGAAGGTGGGAGGGGGCCAAGTGGGGACCCTCCCGCTGGTGTCCTCCAGCTCATCCGGCCGCAGAGGGGGCGGGGGCGGGCTTACACGAACGTTGTTTCCTCCCACATTTTTTATCCAATGGAAAGGCAGTAGGTCCTCTCTGTTCGCCCCGGAGCCCCGGCTTTGGAAGTCATAAGCCAGGCAGAGCCATTTCCCCTCCGCGGTGCACTACCTCACTCCCGTCTTGAGGCGTGGCACAGGCTGGCTTAGCTCCTGGAAGGGGAGAAGGACAAAGTGGGGGAGGGGGCTCCAGGAAGAAAATGGTCCCTGGTTACTATTTCAGAATGGGACCTGGTCACACATGTGCACTCGGTCCTCTGCGGGACCCAGCGAACTCTGGGACAGACAGGGCATGCCTCTGAGGCTCACCAAGTCCATGCCGTCTCGCTGCCTCCTCACGCACCCCCTCAAGTTTCGCCCGCACTGGGCGCTCTGCAGAGCCTTTTCGTTCATATCCCGTCCACTCCATCACGGCCCCCCAACACGGGAGGGGCGGCTGTCCTCATCTCCGGGTGAGGGAGCTGAGGCTCAGAGGGGCCGGGTGACACTCCTGTCCCGTAAGTCCCGGGCGGAGCAGGCGGAGCCCGAGGGTGACCTGAGAGCTGCAGGGGCCTGCGGAGGCTGGCGTCTCCATCACGGACCCCTTCTCTGTCCCTGTGCCCTCCCCCCAGCGTTCGCTGCCTTCCTGCTGACTGCCTGCATCCTGGATTTCCAGAGGGCCCTGGGCCTGTTTGTTGTCACCTGTGTGGTCCTGGTCTTCCTGGCCCACAGCCTGGGGAAGAGGCTGCTGGGGCCGAGGCTGCTGAGGTGCGTCAGGCCTCTGGAGAATCCCCGCCTGAACCTCTGGTTTAAGAGGTGAGTGAGCTCACGGCCCCCAGGCGGGGTGGCGTGGGTGGGCTGGGGGGAGGGGGGAGGAGTGGGGCGCGTGGCCCGAAGGCCTCTGAGGTCACAGCTCTGGGGTCACAGCCAGGGCCGAGCTAGGGGGGCCTCCGTCTTCCCCAGCAGACAGTCCCCGTGCCCCGGGGACCCTGTCCCACCCCACTTGCCTTGTGGAAGCGCCAGGACAGGTGTTGCTGGGTAGCTTCCCAGGTGGCGGCGGCAGTCTTTGTGGAGATTCGCCAGTTTCCGTCTGGTTCTCCGCCCCATTCGCCGCGGTCACTGGGACAGCAGAGAACAGGACTCCGTAGTCTCCCGAGTGCTGAGACCCCAGCCCGTCCCAGCAGGGAGGGCCCCTATCGGTCCCTCCCACAGACCGCCCCGGAGTGGAGTCCGAGTCAGCAGGCCGGGCTGGGGGCCAGGCGTCATGGTGAAAGAACGTTCCTCGTCACCACTGTTAGCGAACATTGCGCTAGAGGGCCTGGCTTGTGCACTGAGGTGAGAAAGAGAAGTTCAAAGATGCGTGGATTGGAAAGGAGGAGGTAAAGCTACCTTTACTCCTGGACAGCGGGAGGCACGGAGGATTCGTGGAGAACTAACGAGGGAGTTGGACCGGGCCGCAGGGAACAAGATCAACACACAAAAAACGATTGCATTTCCATATGCTCACAGCAATCGTAAGTTTAAACTATAAATACTGTTTAGAATAGCACAACATATGAAACACTCAAGGGTAAACCTGACAAAAGACCCACAAACCTGGGCATGGAAAACCACACAACGTTGTGAGAGAAACGAAAGAAGACTTCGTCCGAATGGAGCAGACTGCCACGTTCGTGAATCAAAAGACCAGTATTGTCAGCATATCGGTTCTCCTCAAATTAATCTACAGATTCTGATAATATCTCAATCGAAATTATAGCTGTAGGCTTTGGGGGCGGAAGTCTAAACATCATGGATCGAGCAGAAGTGCAAAGAGCCCAGACTGGCCAGAACGACTCCGGGAAAGGGGGGCAGAGCTGATGGACCCGCACCGCCTGTCTTTCGGGCTTGTTGCGGAGCTGCAGTCATCGAGACAGCACGCTCCCGGCATCAGAACAGACAAATGGGTCAGTGGGAGAGAATGAAGAGTGGAGAAACAGGCCCACATATATATGGATAATTGATTTTTGACACGGGTGCTAAGGCAATTCAGTGGGGAAATAATGATCATCTCAACAAAATCTGCTAGAATAACGGGATATCCATAGGCAGAAGACGTACGTGGACATTTAACCAAAAGAGATATGTAAGTGTAAGTAAACAAAAGAGAAGGTGCTCAACACCCTTCGTCACTAGGGAATGCAAATTAAAGCCCAAAGAGATACAACCGTCTTCCCACTAGAATGGCTAAGGCTGGAAAGCTTGAGCATAACAAGTGTTGGCAAAGATGTGGAGGCACTGGAACTCTTACATACAGCTGCTGGGAAGGCGAAACTGTGCAGTCACTTCGGGAAACAGTGCGGCAGTCTCCTAAAAAGTTAGACCTGCCCTGCGACTCACCCATCCGGCTTGTCGCATTTACTGCAGAGAAATGAGGCACGTCTATCCCTGCGGAGACTCGCATGTGAACGTGCAGATGTGCACAGCTGCTTTGTCTATAGTAGCCCCAAACCGGAAACAACCTAAAAGTCCATTCACAGACGACTGGAATACTACTCAGCAAGAAAAAAGAAGGAGGGATCGATAAATGCAGAAACATAGACGAATCTTAAAACCATTACGCTGAGTCCAGGAAGTCAGGCAAAAAAAAAAAAATGTGTGCTGTATGATTCTGTCTGTATAGAATTCCAGAAAACAAAGACTCACCTGGTAACAGAAAATAGATCCGTTGTCGCCTGGGGACAAGGAGGCGGGCGAGGCGCTAAGCTCCGTACACGCACCCTCTGGTTTAGTCCTCTCCCAACCCTGAGAAATGGGGAGTCTTCAGCTGCCTTTTCTCAGTGAGGAGGTCAGGCTGAGAGAGGCCAGGTCATTTGCCGGAAGTCACACAGCTGTCTCTCCTCCCACCAACCCCGCCTGTGCTTTCCCGGGGCCAAAGGGGCTGTGGTGTGGGGTGGGGCTGATGCTGAGGACGATGTCTCTCTGCCCTTCCCCCGCAGGGGTCTGGCCGCCGCCGCTCTCCTGGGCCTGGTCCTGTGGCTAATTCTGGACACCTCCCAGCGGCCCGAGCAGCTGGTGTCCTTCGCGGGAATCTGCGTGTTCGTGGGCATCCTCTTCGCCTGTTCAAAGCACCATCGCTCGGTCAGTGCGTGGTTGTCAGGCCTAGAGCGGGCCGCAGCCCCTTCTCTCCCTCTGTCTCCTTGGCAACCACCCCAGTGTGAGGACCCCTCCTGGCTTCACAGTGTGGCTGACACCTCCCCCCAGGCTGCAGCCAAGCCTGCAGGCGCCCCGAGGCACCCCTGAGTCTGGAATCGAACCCCTGAGGCACCGCCACTGAGGAATCATTAGATGCTGAAACGGGTCCAGCTCCCCTCTGCTGGAGCAGGGGCGTGGACAGAGTGGGGTCAGGACAGCTGGGGACCCTGCCTATGGAGGAGGGATGTGGCGGAAGGGCTCGGGCAGACCCCAAGGCCACAACTCCGCCCACCCAGTGACGACCCAGGACCCAGTGCCACAGCGTGCTCAAGGCAGTGGGTTCTTACCTGGGTCCTCAGCCAGCCCTTGCCCACCCCTGCCCCCTGCCCCCTGCCCCAGGCTCATTGCTGCCAAGAGCGTGGCCTGTTACGAGCTCCAGGGAGGAAGTGACCACTCCCAGTAGGTGCAGACCTCTGGCTAGGCCCAGCCCCACCCTACAGGCACACCAAAGCCCCTCAGAGCAGCCCCTGCCCTCCGCTCTCGCCCCACCCTGTCCCCGTGGGTCCCCCCAGGAACTGAGCTCACCAGGACCTTCCTGTGTTGGCGGCAGGTATCTTGGAGGGCCGTGTCCTGGGGCCTCGGGCTACAGTTTGTACTTGGACTCCTCGTCATCAGAACGGAGCCTGGATTCATGGCGTTCCAGTGGCTGGGCCAGCAGATCCAGGTGCGTTCACAGGGCCGGCTGCCCCGGTCGTCTGGGGTTGCCGTTCTGCCACTGTGCTGGGGGGAAGGTGGGCGGTGAGGGATTGGGGGATTGGGACCGGGATGGCTGGTGGGTGGTGGGCCCCAAACAACGGGGGAGGGGGAGGGGGGCGCAGCTGGGGGCTGGGCCCTGCGACTGCGGCTCCCCTCGGGCCCAGCGCCCCTGCCGGACCGCAGTCCCCTCAGAGGCCTCAGCTCAGGGGGCTTCTCAGGGCTCCTGGGCATGGGGCTCTCCGCATTCATCAGTGACGTGGCCCTCACCGTAGCTGCAAGTGCTTAAACAATTACAAGTGATTTCCTTGGTGCGTGTGTGTGTTTGTGCTCAGTCGGTTGAAGCCGCACTTGCGTAACTCCGTTGTTTTATTGCGGTAGACACACCCACCACGACAGTCCCACCAACCCAGCTGTTTCTAAGTCCTTAAGTTCACGCCCGTCGTTGCGCAAGCAGCGTGATTCACTTGAAAGTGTGGATTACCGGAGCCGAGCGGTGCTCCCCGGCCCACCCCTCTCATCATGCAGGGCCCTGTTGGCTCTGGAGGGAACCCTCCCGCCTGTCTGTCCAGGCTCCCCACCCGTGTGGCTATGGGGGTGTCGAAGACAGGGTCGCTCCTCCGGTCACACCCCCTGTTTTACAGACAGGAGAAGGGACTGGTCCCTGCGGTCACCACGCAAGTGTGGGACCTAAGTCGGTCTCCCGTAGAAGGGCGGCCAGATTCGGACACTGAGCACCCCCGCCCAGCCTGGGATGGGGGCAGGGACAAGGCGGGGTCTGTGCCCTTGGGAGGGAGGGAGGGAGCTGGCGGCAGGCACAGGCCTTGTCGCCTCTCAGTGTCTTGCTCCCTTGGGTGTTTCTTTCTTATCCAAACAACTCTCATCTCGGAGTTTTTCTGTAAGATTTATCGGAAGGGTGTGCCTTCTGGAGAACGCGGCTAGGAGGGGAGGGGGCCACGGCCACGCGGTCTGCCCGCTTCTGTGAGGCCAGCCTGCTCTCCCCAGCCCGCCCCCCGGGGCCGGAGGTCCTGCGCCTGGGTGTCCCTCCCCCCCACCGCCCCAGCGCGGTGGGGGCGCCCGCGGAGGCCCCTCCGGCCCCCCTCCTGCCTGTTTCTGTCCCCCTTCCTTCGTGGCCTCCCTCCACTGTTGCGTTTTGCTTCTTTCAGACGTTCCTGAGCTACACCGAGTCCGGCTCCAAATTTGTGTTCGGGGAAGTTCTGATCAAGAGGGTCTTTGCCTTTCAGGTCAGCTGACTCTCGCGCCACAAGGCTTTTCTCGCTGTTGCCAGGCTAGTGGGGGGTCCGAGCAAGCTGTGCGGGCCAGGCCTGGGGTGAGGGGGCGAGGGAACCACAGAAGCTAAGGACGGGAGCTTAAGCCCAGGCCCTGGGAGGGGCCCTGGCCGTGGGACTGCAAGGCCGGGCGGTATGTTTTCGCCGATGTTAGCTGCATCCCTCCTCTTTTCTGCCTTTCCGGAAGAAGGCGCGCCCACCCGCTACTTGCACCTCCCCCCAACCGCGCCGTAGAACCACAAGTTCATGGCCCATCAGGCTACGAGGATGCCCGGCGGTGTCGGGTCAGCCCTGTGCACTGCAGACGGCCACTCCGAGCCCAGGGAGTTCGGGCGCAGCCGGGCCTGGAGCTGGGTCACGGGGTTCCCGGTCAAGTAACCTGTCCCCCTCATCGTCTGAGTCAGTGGCATCTCGCCCCCTCCCCTCCCAAAGAGCATCCCTAGTGACAGCAGTGACGCGTTCAAACCATGTGAATGGGTGCTGCAGATTTTGAGTTTGGCCGTTCCGTCAAGAGAGAGAAGCTGAGGGAGGCGGGCTTATCGGTAATCAGCCTCAGCTGTCGCGCACTAAACCTCGTCCTGGCCCCCGGGAGGCCCTGTCCCATGGGTGAACCCTGGTCCTCGGGTGCGCCGGGGCTTTCCGAGCAAAGGTGGGGGGCGGGGGAGATGCTTCGTGGCCACGGAATTCCTTCCTCAAGAGATGCACTCACCACAGAGTTGCATTCACAGCACCCTTCTCTGTGTCGTGCACCCTCTCACACAAACACGTGTGCACACTCACACACACACACACACGCACACTCGCCAGGACTGGGGCTCGTCCTCGGTGTGGGAGCGGCTCTGTTGTGCTGAGTTGAACAGAAGACTCAGAAGCCTTCTTTCCGTTCTTTCCATGAACCACGTGGACCTAGTCCAAGGCCTGCGGCCTCTGTCAGCCCCAGGGATGCCTTCTCTGGGCTCCTCGGGTTTGCAGAGCCCCAGCGGCTTCCTGCTGGCCACAGTGCAGCTCAGCACCCCTCCCAGAAGCAGAGCCCCAGCTGGAGGCTTCTCCAGCCACCCCCACCTCCCGGGGGCCTGCAGTCCAGCCCGGTTGCCGTGGCAGCCACCTCCCAGCTGGATCGTTTTGATTAGTCACTCCACCTTGGCCACATGTCCCTCTGGTAACTTTCCACCCACATGACCGCTCCCCCCGCCCCCTGCCAGGCCCCCGCGTTCTTCCCGGGTCTGGCTGACCTGGAGCACTGGGTCGCTCACTCGTTCCCGGACACTCTGGCCTCCGCTGCTCGCCACGCCCCCCCGCCACCACTTCCTAGGCTCAGCACTGCTGCCCACGCGGTCTCCCCCAGGAACCCCAAGGGGGAAACGATGTGTTCTCTTCTCCCGAGGGTTTCGGGACATCTGCCTGATGCAGCCCCTACAATCCCCATTGGTCAACCGTGCCAAATTCTGCAAAAAAAAATCAAGTAAGATAGGGACAAAAAAAGTAAGATGACGACTGAAAGGTCCCATTGGATTTAGTAATTAGGGGGTCACTGGTCACCTTGGCACTGTTTTGGGGGGGGGAGTGGGAAACACACGGAGACCGAGTCAGGGTGACAGAGGGGGAGATGGGACGACTGACCCAGGGTGGCCGGTGAGAGCGCGGCCCCTGCAGGGAGGTCTCCAGGGGACTTGGACAGGCGGGGACAAGCAGAGGGGCCGGGCAGCGAGGTCGCTCTGGGCAGAGGGGCGGCGTGTCCAGCGCAGCCGCTTTCCCGTCGTGGTAGTGGTGGTGGTGGTGGTGGTATTGCGGCCGTGGCCTCCAAGGAACCTGCTAGGCTTTGGGGCTTTGTGGTTCTCTGTTGCCTGGGGCTGGTGACCGTGCGGGCGGTCTGCAGCGCTTGGGCCTTGGGGCTGGGGATGTGAGGGTTCCCCCAGACGGCCTTGGGGGAGGTCACGGAGGGCCTGGCTCAGCACCCTCCAGGGGGAGGAAGGGCGGGCCTTGTCTGAGGGGGTTTCCTCCTGCCTTTGGAACCCGACCTGTTTCCTGGTGAGGGCGCGGCCTCCGTTCGGAGGGCGGGGCTCTCAGAGGGTGATGTCGGGACCAGCAGCACCGGCAGCCTCTGGAAAGGCCGAATTCCCAGGCCCACCTCAGGCAAACTGAATCTGAGACCCTGGGGGCGGGTTCTCAGGTGATCCTGCCGGCCCAGGGACCACACTCGGAGACCCAGCGGCTGAGGGGCGCTGGCAGTCTCCCTCGAGCTGTGGGTGAGCGTTGGTACCAGCAGGGGCAGCCGGCTCTGAGTTTCCATCCAGCGGCAGTCAGGGCCCGCCGGGGCAGGCTCCCCGTGGAGGGGACCAAGAAATTAGGCCTCCACGCGAGCACAGAGCAGAGCTCCCCGGGGTCAGGGCAGGGGCTTGGCGACCTGCTTGGTGGACAGGGCGTCCGCTGCGTCTTTGCAGGTGTGTGACCTTGGACAGGTAGCCGACATCCCACAGCCTCGGGGGCCCCATGTGGGGAGTGAGGTTTCCTGGCTGGGAGACCAGCCTCAGGGACATTCTTTAGGATTAAGCCTTCCACCTTGGAAAATCGGGGCTCCCTCTCTTCCGTTCCGTTTATCTTCCCTGCCTGGACAGCCACCATTTAGTCCAAAACACCGCTTCCCTCTCCCAGGAGAGCCAGCCCCACCTCACAGACAGAAAAGGTCTCCTGGCCGCTGCCTGGAGGAGGTCTAATTCTGCAGCCGGGTCCCAGGCCCTGGGCACCGTCCCTCCTGGCCCCGGCCGCCCCGGCCTCCCTGGCCGCCCTGCCAGCCTGCAGAGCGGTCCCCTCGCATGACAGATTGGACAGGCCGTCTAGACAGTACGTGACCTCCGATGCGTTTCCCTCCCGGGGACGGCAGAGTGACGTCAGCAGCCCTCGTGGTGGGGGGGGCGTGTCCGGCACCGGGCAGTCAGGGGCAGTCACGGGACAGGAGAGGCTTTCTCCAGCCAGTGCCCGCGTTCCCTGTCAGGTGACACCCCTCCCCCCTCTGCCCCGCGGGGAAGCGGGTGACAGATGTCGAGTGCAGCAGGTCCAGAGGAGCCCTCCCTCGCCTGGGAAGGAGAGGAAACCCACCCCCTGGTCTTGTCTCTCATCCCCAGGGGGGCGCTGCGCGGGGCGGCCCCCTGCGCCGCCATCCCTGTGCGTCTTGAACGAGAGCCTGAGTCGGCTGCTGCGGATCCCTCCGCTGAAAAGCAAACACAGCCCCCCGCCTTCCCTCCCCGCGGGCCCCTCTTCGGGCCCCTCTTCCTCCCACACGGCCCAGCGTCTGCACCGAGCTCTCACTGCCTCTGCCTGCCTGTCCCCCGCCTCCTGGGTTCGGGGCCGCCCGGCCACCCCGTCCCCACTCTTTGTGTGACAATCTCTCCCCCAGGCCGCCAGGGGCTGCTGCATCACCAGGGGCCAAGGGTCCGTCTCAGTCCTTGTTTTCCTAACGCTCTCTGATGCCTCTGGCCCGGCGGACCCACCTGCCTTCCGGAAAAGCTGCCCTCCTGTCCCTGCTCCGCCTCTGTCTCCTCCCTGCCCCTCTCCCCGCCCTCGGCCCCTCTCGTGACCACGGCCCCGGGGCCCTGGCTGGACTCGTGGCTCTGACCGGCTCTCCGACTGGGGTGTCCTCGGGCATCTCAGACCCGGCGGGCTCAACACCGAGCGGACGGGCGTGCCCCGCACCTGTCCCGTCTCTGCCCCCTCTCCCTGCTCTGAACAGGGCCCGCCGGCTGCAGGTCAGAGGAGCAGCGGAGAAAGTGGACGTACGTCCGCCGTCCCAGCACACGCCAGCGACGACGCGTGCTGTCTGTCGGGGCGTCCAGACCCAGGGTCCGTCCGGTGGCCGGACGCCCTGGCTTCCCCACGCCACGTCTTAGCGTAGGAATGCGCCCCGACCCCTCGGGACTCACTGCGAACGCGCCGTACACCCCACGGTTAACCCCGGAGCGGAGGACGCGCTCCAACAGAACAATGGGGAGAGTGGGGTGCCCAGCGAGTCTCCCTCCCGCCCCGACCCCCAGGGCACGCGGCTCCCTCTCCACTCGCAGCTCCTTCCTGCGCTGTTGCATCCCCGCCCACGGGCACCGCCCCTTTCCCGCTGGACGGCCCCTCCTGGACCTCACTCCAGGCGCCCCCCCCAAGCGAGGGCCGCCTCTTTCTTGCGTCCTGACTCGACCGCTCCGCGGTGCGGCCATCCGTCGGGTCTCGAGAACCCCCCTTCGTCGCGGCGTCGCCTGTGCGGGGGCGGGGGCGGGGGTGGCGCTGCACGCCAGCCGGCAGCGAGGCGGCCCTGGGTCGGGGCGCCACTCGGAGGCCAGGCGGTGCGTGGGAGAGAAGTTGTGCAAGGCCACAGATGTCGTTCCATGCAGTGGCTTCCGAGCTGCTTCTGTCAGGCCGCAGGGCCGCGAGGCTGGGGTCGGAGTGGGCCGTCCAGTGTCTCCGAGGCCCGGCCCCCTACCCCCTGCCCCCTGCCTGCGTCTCACCCCCGGCCTCTGCTCTTCCCCCGGCAGGTCCTGCCCATCATCGTTTTCTTCAGCTGCGTCATGTCGGTCCTCTACTACGTGGGCCTCATGCAGTGGGTGATCATGAAGGTGAGTCCCGGCGCCAGCGCCGCCGCTGAGGCCCGAGCGCACCTGGAGACTCCCGCTCCCTGGGCTCCCGGGGCCCCCGCTCTCCCAGAATGCTGTGCTCCCGGCGCCCACAGTCCGCGCTTTCCCCAGCCCACAGCTAACCAGACGTCTTTCCACAGTGTGTCTTGCCCTGATACTAAGGAGAAAGGGCGCCCAAATCCAAGGCGTAGTTTGCAGCACTGAGGCTGCCTTGGGAAGAAATGTTAGGGGAACAAAGTCATTTTCATTCAGACCCAAGCGATCCTGCGAGACTGGAGCAGGGCGCCACGTCGGCCGGACGTTAGCTGGTGCGCGAGCCGAGTCCCGTGCTCCTGGGCACACACCTGCCGCGCAAACCCAGGGCGCAGCAGCCGGCCGAGGGCCCGGCGGAGGGTCCCGGGGTTTTGCCTGTCGGAGCTCAGAATAAACCTGCGCTGTCCCGTGGCTGCCAGGAATGCCAAACCCGCCCGTGGTCACGTTGACAGCTCACCGTGTGTGGCATGCGGGGGGCAGTGATGCCCACACCTGGGGAATGGGTGTGACCGAGGGGCGGTGGCGAACCGAGACATCTGTGGGAGAGCGACGGGGCCGAACACCATGCCCCCCCGTGAGGGGCTGGGGAGGTGGGGATGCCGGGCCTGGGGGAGAAGGCCGGGGTGGAGGCCGGCCACGCAGCTGCATGCAGACACTGGGGATGGGGGGCGGGGAGGGCAGCCTGAGCAGTGCCAGCGGTGAGGAGGAATTCCAGGGAAACAGATTTCACCTTGATGGAAAGGAAGAATTTTCTAACACAGTGCTTCCCAAAGCCATGTGCGTGTGTGCGTGCATGCGTGTGTGTGTGTGTGTAACTGGTTCCGTGGCAGGTTAATACATGCCACTGGCTGAAGGACCCCACGGTCAGACGGTTTCGTGCAGCTGACCAGTGTAAACCAGTTCTATGCAGGGCTTTTCAGAGCCTTGCCTGAGCGCATATGTGTGGGTTACCTCCAAGGTGTGCGTGTACCATAGTAACCCTCCAGTACACTCGGCCAAGGAATCCTCCCCCTCCCCCACCCCCACCGGTGGAGGTTGGGAACGGGGAGATGAAGGGACCTTTTGGGGGAAATGTAGGTGAGGGGCTCCTACCCGGGTGGGGAGCTGGAGGGAAGACTTGGAAGGTCACCCCGCCCCTGGCTCTGTCTGCCCCTGGGGCCCTCACGGACGGCAGCCCCCAAGCCCTCTGCTTCCTTCCAGATTGCCTGGCTGATGCAGGTCACCATGAGCACCACGGCCACCGAGACCCTGACCGTGGCTGGAAACATCTTCGTGAGCCAGGTGGGTCCTGCCGCCCGCTGCCCTCACGCTGACCGGCGGCCTCCCCGGGAGGCCGGGCGCCCTGGCCCCTGGGGCGCGGCCTCAGGCAGCGGCAGAGCCGTGTGCACCTGCCCCCAGGGTCCCCCAAGGCCGCCGCCCCGCTGGGGATGCACTTTGCCTGGGTCCTACTGGGGAGGACGGTGTCCGTCCAGAGCCTCCGACCGCTCTGGGCCTCGGCTGCCCTGGTCAGCCTAGAGATAGACGCGCAAGCCCTCCGACGGGGTCCACCTTTCTCCCTCTGTCCACGAGGCAACTGAGGCTCGGGTGGGGATGACTGGCTGAGGGCCCACAGGATAAGCCGGGACTTAGAATCCCGGTTTTTCCTTCCTGACCAGGGTTCTTCCCACTGCATCATTTTGTCTTTTCTTTTTTTTTTAAATCTCCCTCTTTCTGAAAATGTGTTTTTCCAAGTAAATGTGGCTCTGAAAGCACTCTCAGTCTTGAACTGCTCTCAGAAGGCCCGGCCCTCCTGCCAGCAGGGGTCTCCCCAGACCGTCCCACGGTCCTGGCCCGCCTGGCCGACACTTCAGCCGCCAGAAGACACACTGGCCTTCCTGGCAACCCCCAGCTGCATTGAAAGCTCCAGGCCGGAGTCACATCTGCTTAGGGTCCTTTGCATGAGAAGGGGTCATCTCTGAACCTCTCCTGTCCTCTGTCTGCTCCCTTGAAAAATGGGGGAGCTCTCTCCTTTCTCAGGAGGTTATGAGCACAGGCATGAGGTGCTCAGTGGGGTGCCTGGACGTGGGGGCACTTGACGGGAGCGCTGGCAGGCCGAGCGGGGAAGGGGGGCGCTGGGGGTCCTTGCATGGAGCCACGCCAACGCTGAGGGGCAGAAAGGCTCAGGGCTCAGACCACAGCCCCCACCCCACCCGCTTCCTTGTCCCCTGGGTCCCCCTGCCTCCTCCCCGGGGTGGGGGTGGGGTGGGAGGGAGGTCCGCAGGGGCCTGTGCCGGCCTGGCCGGCTCTGTTCTGTCTGCCCGACGCCTCCCCTGTTCGCAGACCGAGGCCCCTCTGCTCATCCGGCCCTACCTGGCGGACATGACCCTCTCCGAGATCCACGTGGTCATGACCGGGGGCTACGCCACCATCGCCGGCTCACTGCTGGGCGCCTACATCTCCTTCGGGGTAAGAACACACGCCCGACGGCCGTGCCACCTGCTGTCACCCGTTGGGAGAACATCTGTCCATCGGTCTTAAAACGTCCCTGTGATCCGGTTAGGAATATCAGGATGCAGGAACAGTTTCACCAGGGGTCACAAAGCACAGAACTCCATCCTTACTCACAATAGAAAACAAGACAAGAACCCCCCGCCCCGTGTTGAGCAGTCAGGGGTGTGCATGGGTAGATGCAGCCGTACCACAAGTGCCGGTTAGCCCTGCAGGGAGTGAGGTGGGCCGTGGCTGGCCTCGCACAGTCCCTGGTGCTGTGCGTACACAGGTCGGGGAAGGACAGAATGACCCCCCGTCCCCTGCTCTGGCCCCCGATTGCACCTGTCCCTCTCATGTCTCTCCTCAGGGGTGGCTGAGGGGCGGGCTGGAGGACAGGCCAGCCTGTGCCTCGGTCCGTCCTTTGCTCGGGACTCGTGGGGGGCACCGGTTAGCTCCAGGCCCCTGGGAGCTCCCTGGGCAGAGAGGCGGCTGTGGGACTTTTCAGGGAGGCCTCTCGTCCTTGTCCCCTGGCCTCGCCCCCTCGCCTCCAGAACTGTAGAGTCCCCTGGTTCACACCTTGTCTCCCTGAGGCTGAGGTGGGGGGCCCACCTTATTGCTGGTGCGCCCCCACCAGCGGGCGGGGGAAGGAGTCTGGTGTTCCGGAACCGTTCCTGAAGCGTGTTGCAGGGTGGTGCGTTAGGGGAGGGGATGCCGTCCTAGTTTCGGGACTTAGGGGCTTCGACGGTCCCAAACGTGTTCCAGGTCCCACGGCCGGTCTACAGAACGGCGTTCTTTCTGCTGTGAGCATGTGGCTGCCGTTGCTTGGGACTAAGATCCCGGAACACCTCTGTCCCTTTTCCAGAGTCTGCCTCCCAGCTCACCCTGCCTCCTTGGCCTTTCTCAGGCAGAAGCCCAGGCCTAGCCCCGGGGCAGCAGGGCCTCCCCCACTGACGGGGCCTGGGCACGCACTTCCCAGTAGCTCTGTGGAGTGTGCGCAGGCTGCCAGGACCATGGGGCGGCTGTGGGGCTCCGTTCCCAGCCGGTGGTTGGTGTGGCGGCCCCCAGGCTATACCACCTGGCTATATATATCAGAGAAGCTCTCTTCTGCCCCCACCTGGCTGCTGGCCGCCACTGCAGCGGCCTGGGGCCCTCCCACCCCCCTGCCTTCCTCCCACCCTCCCGCCGGCCTCCCACTCGCTCCTCAAGGCACTTCCTCTCCGAGTGGCCGTCGGCTGTGCCCCAGCCCCTGAGCTCCAGGAAGATCCCTCTTGCCCTGCACCCCTCCTACCGCTAGTATCTGGGGTATGTCTAGACTCGCGCTGTCCGACACAGTAGCCGCTGGCCACCCACGGCTGGGGGGCGCTGGGAACGCGGCTGTTCTGAAATGAGATCCGCTGTGAGACTCGGTGTGGAAAAAAACTAATCCACCTTATTGCTACGTTTAACATGGACTGCATGGGTGGAAAGAGAATATTTTGGATCCATGGGGTTAGTTAAAATGCGCTGTTAAAATTCACGTTAGCTGCTTCTCAATATTGTTGTCATTGGCTACTGGAACCTGTAGCATCCCAGACGTGGCTCGGGTTGTATTTGCCCTGGGCAGTTAGCGCTGCTCTAGACCCCCTCTCTGGCTGGAGGGCCCCGGGGCCGCTCGACCGAGTCCGTCCACGGCGGCTGCCACGCGCTTCTCCCTCTTCACCGGTTTCCCAAAGGCGCTCGGGCAAGCGAGCACCAGCTCTCTCCACTACCTGCAGGGACTGACTACTGTCTCTCCCCACACGCTGGTTCCGGAGCCGCCGTGAGAGGGGCCTGAGATGTGCTCCTGGAGCTGCGGACGGAGGCTGGGCGGGGAGACGGAGCGGGCCGGGCAGGGGCGCACCCCAGGCAGTGGTGCCAGAGGGGGAGCCCCTGGGACAGACCTGCGGGGTCCTGGGCAGGGCCACGCGCACACCTAGCACTTAGTTTCTGCATCTGTAAAATGGGCAAGATCCCTGCCCACCGCACGGCACTAAGAATCAGACGCCACAACAGACAGAAAGCACTTCGCGTGGTGTGGAAGACGAGGTCGTTGTTTCTCTGGCACGTGAGGGTCAGAAATCCACCCTTTGGAAGCAGGCCCGTTCCATGCCCCCTAGTTGTCTGGATGCATTTTCTCTCTCAGTAGAGATCTTTTTGGAAATTCAAAGGGATAGCTCACACCCTGTGTCCCTCCCTCACCCGGGGCCTGGGGACGCTGGGACAGAATGCATTCCTGACCAGGGGTCCGGCAGCAGCAGCGCCTGGGGTTGTCTCGGCCTTGGGGGACAGCCGGCAGTGGGGAGGTGGGGTGTGGGCCGACCCGGTGGGCCAGGGAGCCCTGCCTGCGCAGGCTGGGGAGCGGGAACCGACCAGCTGGGGCCTTTGAGGCTGTGGCCGCGACGGGCTCACAGCGTCCAGGAACGGAACCATGGTAGGATGTGTTCCCTGCTGGGACTCAAGGTGACAAACCAGGGGTACCCTCCAGGCCGGAGGGAGGGGGAGGGTCCCTGCCGGGGGAGGGCCGGCCCCGAGATTACCTAAGAGGTGCTGCCCTGGGCCACACCGTCTGGCCCCCACACATCCCCCTCTCGGCAACCCCCTCCCTCACTGTTGCAGATCGACGCCGCCTCCTTGATTGCTGCCTCCGTCATGGCCGCCCCTTGTGCTTTGGCCCTCTCCAAGCTGGTCTACCCGGAGGTGGAGGAGTCCAAGTTCAGGAGTGAGGAAGGAGTGAAACTGAGCTCTGGGTGAGCACAGCGGGGGCGCCCACAGAGGGGCCAGTGGGGATGGGGAGGTGGGGGACAGGGGCAGAGGCGGGAATGGCAACGAACCCCACCCATTTCCTCTGCCCGTCCACCAAGCCCAGGCCCGCCACTCTGCTGGCCCTGCTCTCACTGGGGCTCGGCGTAGACACGCACGGCCTCCAGCTCCTAGGTCTTGACTGCCGTGCTGGGGCCAGCAGGAAGCGGTGGGCTGGAGAAGGCGTGGGCCTTGGGGCTGTGGGCTGGAGCGTGTGGTGAGGGGGCCGTGAGAAGGCTCCGTGCCACCCTCTCCACCCGCCTGGAGCCCCGGCCGCCAGGGTGTCATGCCACGCTCACACATCGAGCGCTCTCGGGGTCCCCGCTCACCTCCTAACGTCCCGGCGTCACAGACTTGACAGCAGCCATGGAACATGTAGCAAAGGTGCCGCTTTGACGGGCGTGCTGCAGGGTGCGGTCCGCAGCCGGAGCCTCCCGTCTTCCTGGGGGTCCGGGGCAGTGCGGCCCTAGAGAAACACGATGCGAGCCACACCTATCCTTTTAGAACTTTTTGTTAAAAGATGTTATTTATTTATTTTTAGGGAGTGGGGAAGGGAGGGAGAAACAGAGGGAGAGAAATATTGATGTGTGAGAGAAACATCGATCGATCAATCGTTGGCCTCTCACACGCCCCCCTCCTGGGGACCTGGTCTGCAACCCAAGGCATGTGCCCTGGCTGGGAATCGAACCAGCGACCTTTCAGTTCACTGGCCAGTGCTCAATCCATGGAGCCACACCAGCAGGGGCCACATCTATAATTTTAAATTTTCTACTTGTCTTTTAAAAAAAGTAAAAAGAAACACATGATTTTTGAAAAGATTTTATTTATTTATTTATTTATTTAGAGAAGGGAAGGAGGAAGAGAGAAACATCAGTGTGTGGTTGCCTCTTGCACGCCCCCTACTGGGGACCTGGTCTGCAACCCGGGCACGTGCCCTGACTGGGAATTGAACCGATGACCCTTTGGTTTGCAGGCCAGCGCTCAACCACTGAGCCACACTAGCCAGGGCGAAACAGATGATTTCAATAAAAAATATTTCATTTATCCTAATATATTCCAAATACCATTATTTCAACATATAAAAAACGGAAATGTAATCACTTTATAAAATAATAATTTTATTTTGACACTGGCTTCATTTCGTACTAAATCTGCCAAGCCTGGTGTGTCACTTACACTTACGACACGTCTCGGTTCGGAGTAGCCTCCTTCCCAGTGCGCCAACGCCACGCCTGGAGGTCGGCTCCTGCCTCAGCCGCCCTGCGCTGGAAGTCTGGGTCTCATCCTGGGGCTGGGACCGGCCCCTTTCTTTGTCTGGGCGTCAGAGGGGAAAGCAGGACCTTGAACTCAGAAGTACGTTGTCCGGGGCTCTTCTCTGCCCCCTGTGGGAGGAGGGGCCCTGCTGTTGGTGGGGACAGACCAGTAAGATGGCTCTTGGCCCCAACAACAGAGATGCCCGGAACATCTTAGAAGCCGCCAGCACTGGGGCCGCCATGTCCGTGAAGGTCGTGGTCAACATCGCGGCCAACCTCATCGCCTTCCTGGCGGTGCTGGCCTTCATCAACGCTGCCCTCTCCTGGCTGGGGGAACTGGTGGACATCCAGGGGCTCACCTTCCAGGTACAGTTCCAGGCGGCCAGCTGAGCCCATGGAGGGGGCGGCCCGAGCACTGGGTGGGGGGTGGGGGGTGGACACCCGGCAGAGCCCAACCAGCCCAGGTCCCAGCAGCTCCTCTCGCCTTGTGCCTCAGCTCCTCTGCTCCTACATCCTGCGGCCTGTGGTCTTCCTGATGGGCGTGGCCTGGGAGGACTGCCCCGTGGTGGCTGAGCTGCTGGGGATCAAGCTGGTCCTGAACGAGTTCGTGGCCTACCAGGAGCTCTCCCAGTACAAGCACCGCCGCCTGGCGGGGATGGAGGAGTGGGTCGACGGCAAGAAGCAGTGGATCTCCGTGAGTGTCCCGGTCCCCTCCCTGAGGCCGGGGCATGACTCCTGCGGCTGTCCGCCCCGCTCTCTGGGCCTGTGGTGACATTCAGCCTCTCGTTTTATTTATTTATTTAGAGGGAGGGGAAGGGAAGGAGAGAGAGAGGGCGAGAAACATCAGTGTGTGGTTGCCTCTTGAGCACCCCCTACTGGGGACCTGGCCCGAAACCCAGGCATCAAACGGACTGGGAATCGAACTGGCAACCCTTTGGTTCGCAGGCCCACGCTCAATCCACTGAGCCACACCAGCCGGGGCATTTTCTTCTATTCTTTTAAAGAGAGTTTGCATAGTGTTCGTTTTAGTATCCATACGTTCTTCCCCACCTGCTATTCGGACATAAGCATCATTTTTGATGTCTGTATCCCTTCGCATGTAAGCAGCCCCCTGCTGTTCGGCCCTTCAGGGTAAGGCCATTAACGGGTGATTGTGCTCGACGCTGAAAGGGACAGGTTGGTGCACAGAACCTGCGCCTGCTCCCGGCTCACGTCCGTGGGAGCGTTCCCAGATGTGAGGGGACCGGATCGCATGGCGTGGGCCCTCCCGAGGCTGCTGCCAGCGACTTTCCCAAAGGGCTACAGCCGCTGAAATCACCCCCACCCCTCCAGCTGTGCCTGGGAGCCTTGACTTTCCCACACGCCCGACAGCGTGGAGGAGCCTCTTCAAAAAAGAAGTCCTGCTCTCTGAATGGGCAACCAATAGCTCATTCTTTTCATTTGTGTTTCGTGGGGTTACTAGGAACTTTTAACAGGAATAATTTTTTTTTGTCTTTCAAGTTATATATTTTGTTTAATTGTAAAGGAATGTAGTCTTTAAAAAAAAAGTTTGTATGGAGTAAAAAACCCAGATTTCCCCTCACCGCTCACCCTCCGTCCCTGCCACCCTCTCCTCCCCGGGTGCCCGGTGCTCCCCGGACACAGCGCCATCCTCGCCACGGCCCTTCCGGGCCGGCACCGTTGCCCCCACGTTCCAGGCGGGGACACGAAAATGCAAAGAGGCCGTTGACTTGCCCAACCTGATCATTCCCCGGGGGGCCAAGCCCGGAACCCCAGTCGGTGGGGCTCCACGTCCCTGGGTCCCCACCCTCAGCATGACAGCACCCTGGGAGCTCTCGCCTGAGAGGTCCCCGGGGGGACAGAAGCACGAGACTGCAGAGTGTCGGGAAGGGGCCGCGTGCCCAGGGGCCCCCTGAGTGCTGAGCTGGGTAGCGCGGAGCAGACCTGAGTCACAGCCGGAGAGGCTCTGATTGTGCAGCCTGAACTGACTTCTCTCCAGGCGGGTGTGCGAGGCCTGGGCGGGGGCACCGCACCGAGCACGCCCAAGGTCAAAGACGCAGAGACAGTGGGTGATCTTCAGTCCAGGGCGCCGGGTGGCATGGGGTGCTCCCGTCCCATCCGAGGGGAGCCCCTCCTCACTCGTCTTCTGTCACTGCAGGTGAGAGCGGAAATCCTCACGACCTACGCCCTCTGTGGGTTCGCCAACATCAGCTCCATCGGGATCATGCTGGGAGGCCTGAGTGAGTGCTGGGGGCGTCCGAGCGCCCTGCGCCGTCTCCCGGGGATCTGTAGGCCTGGCTCCCCGCTCCGTCTAAGGCAAAGTCTGAGTGAGGTGGCCACAGAGGCTCCCCGCTGCCGGGGAGCTCCCCGATTTCCCTGCTTCTGGGGGCTGCCCAGGCCGAGTCCGGCCCTGGGATCTGGGGCAGGGGGGGCAGGAGGTGCGGTGCCCCCTGAGGCCCTGGGCCGCCGTTTCCCGCACGCACAGGGGGCAGGCAGGCCTGCATTGCCCAGCTCTCAGCTCTCCAGAGGAACCACTCCCCCTGCCTAGCGGGGGAACTGCCCCGTTTTTCTGGCCGGGGAGCTGAATCTCGTAGAAGTGAGGTGATGGCCTGAGTCTCTCAGATAGCGGCTAAGCCTGCGTTGAATCCCAGGTCCGCCCGACGCCAGGCTCAGGTTCTTGTTCGACCTCCGCCCCTGATGGCACGAGTGGGGTGCCACCTAGCGGCCCGAGTCAGGCCGAGGGAGTGACCTTGGCCTCCAAAGCTCAGCCAGTGTCAGGCAAGGAAAGGGAGTCAGCAGAGGCAGCCAGAGGTGCAGGGCATGGGCCGGCCGAGAGGCCCCTGCGTGCTGGCCCTGAGCCCCGCTGTCCCCCCGCAGCCTCCATGGCGCCCCAGCGGAAGAGCGACTTCTCCCAGATCGTCCTGCGGGCACTCTGCACGGGCGCCTGCGTGTCCCTGGTGAACGCGTGCGTCGCGGGTGAGCCCCTGCCTGCCTGCCTGGCAGAGCCGGACTTCCTCGCGGGGCTGAGCTCAGGGGCGCTCTGGCCTCTGCAGCCGTCCCTGGGGGTGGGGGGAGGGGTGCTGAGCAGCACGGCTCGCTGACGGGCTCTCCCCGCACAGGGGTCCTCTACATGCCCAGGGGGGCCGAGGTCAACTGCACGGCCCTCCTGAACACGACCTTAAGCAGCAGCAGCTTCGAGGTGTACCAGTGCTGCCGCGAGGCCTTCCAGAGGTGAGGGCCCGGCCGGGGGGGGGGGGGGGGGGGGGGGGAGGGGGGGAGGGGCGGGGGGCGGCGCCTGGGGCACCAGGGCCAGGGCCGGGGGGAATGCCATGGCTGCGGCCCACGTGGCTGCGGCCCACGTGGCCGGGGAGGAGGAGGAAGTGGGGCCTGAGGACCCAACCTGGGGAGGAAGGACGGACGGACGGGAGACACGGGGCTGGTTTCCGGGGGGGACGGCCCCGCCCCGGCGCTCCGCCTGCAGCCTCCGCTCTTCTCCAGCGCCAGCCCAGGCTTCAGCCCCGGGGCCCTGGGCAACTGCTGTCACTTTTACAACAACACGGCCTGCGTCTAGTGAGGACAGCGCGCCGACGACGTGCCTTCCGGAGACGGCCACTCCCCAGGAGGCGGCGGGGTCCGCTGTCCTTGGGGCCTCTCCTTAGGGGGGCCCCAGGGTTCAGACCCACCACGGCCCACCCCGGGAAGGAGCGGTGGGGCGAGGGGGCGGAGGCTGAGCGGGTGGGGGCGTGAGTGAACCAAGGAGCTCCCCACCCCTCGCCGGCGGGCTGCTGCCCTAGTTTCAGCCCGTAAATGTGAATTCTCAAGATCACTTCTGTCTCTTCTCCCCGCGCCCCCCCCACACCCAGTAGCACCCTGGTCTTCTCTGCCTCCTGCCCGGCCCCGGGGCTCTCCCACGGACCCTTCCCCTCCTTTACAGCCCCTTGCCCCCGGCGTTTCGGCCCCTCCTCCCCTCCTGTCCCGGCCCTAGGGGCTTACCCCGCCCCTGGATTCTCCTGGAGACCTCCCCGCTACTTGCAGAGACCCCCCACTGCCTACCCCCCAGCCCTTCCCCAGCTGGCGCCCCGTGGAACACTGTCCCACGTGGTGTCCGCGGGGAAAACACTGCGCTGAATAAAGTTGGGTTTGGTTTTTTTCTTTTAAAACTACGGACACGTCAGAGCTCCTTGTGGACACGGTAGGAGACGTTTCCCAAACTTACTGGGCCGTGGGAGCCTTCCTGGTGGGAGTTAGCGGAAGGTCCCGGGGGACACAATACTGATTAGTGCTGAAACTGCTGCGTTTCACACAACTGTGCTACTCACCCACGTTCGCACAGCACACGCGCCAGGCACCGGGCTCGGGGCTTCATACATTCTAACTCAGCGTCTACACAACAGCCCCGTGAAGGCAGGCGCTAGGATGGGCCCCCCCCTGCCCTTGAGGCCCAGAGAGGTTAAGTAACTTGCTCAGAGGGACACAGCTGGGGAGATGAAGAGGAGGGTTTGAACCCAGGCCGTCCAGTCCCACAGGCTCCGGTGTTTAATGCCTTTGCCGCGCTGCTTGCAGTCATGGAGCTCCGCGGCAGCCTTGCCCTCACCTTCTTCCCCCGCCCTCCCTCCGCCCCCCTCCCCGGCCCGGCCCCTCAGACCAGCAGGTCTGGCTCTGCTGTGTGCTCCCTGCCCCAGCCTTCGCCCCTGGAGTGCTGCCTGGGGGCCCGCCGCGCCGCACGCCCCACCCTCTCCCTTTGTCCCCGAGGCCACCCCCCCCCAGTGCTCCGTCTCCATGCTCAGCTCCCCAGCAGCTCCGGCTGCCCTGACCTGCGATGTCCCTGCGGTCCCTGGGCCCTGTCCCCTCACCCGCTCCGTCAGGCTGGACTTCCCCGTTGGGGCCAGTGCTGGCCTGAGGCAGAGGGGTGGTGGGGCCTGGTCAGCACTTACTCTGCTCAGCCCCAGCCAGCCAGGGGCTGCTTCTGCTCTGCTCCCTCGTGGACTTCGGTTTTACTGGACCGTGGCTTTGCTCCTTGCCAGCCCCACAGGCCGGCCTGGGGTCCCTGACCTCAGGGCCGAGTGCCTCCTCTCTGCTCTGCAGGGTACACCCTTGGCCCGATCCCCATGCCCCACAGCCAGGTCCTTGCCCTGCCCCCTGCAGCCCCCCACGGGGCCCCCCACCCCCGCCCCGCTCCCCCTGGGCTGTCCCAGGACAGCCTGCTGCTGTGGACGGCACGGCTGTCTCTCAGGATGGCACCCTGGCCCCTTCCCGGCCTGACCGCTGGGCCGTGAGCGGCCTGAGAGCCCCCCGTCCCCCTTCCCTGGCTCCGTGCTCGCTCGGCACACGGCCAGGGTCCTGCCCTCGCAGCACGCCGCCCAGTGCTGGGCCCGGGACTGTGCTGGGCAAATGCCCGTGGACTTGAGTCACATGGTCTCTCAGTGTGTCCGCCACTGCGGGAGACTGAATGTGATACAGGGTCACGGTGGGTCACATGACGTCCCCCAAAAGACCTGTCCAAGTCCTAGCCCCCGGTAGTTGTGAACGTGAACTTATTTGGAAATAGAGTCTTACAGGTGTAACTAAGCTTAAGTTTCTCAAGACAAGATTACCCTGCATGCAGGATGGGCCCTGCACCCGGTGATCTGCACGAGACGGCAGGGGGCGGTTGGAGACGTGGGCACGGAGACAAGCCGTGGAGCCGTGGGCCGTGAGAGGGTGTGGAAGCAGAGTCCGGAGCCCTCGGCTCCAAGGCCTGGCCCCGCTGGGGACCGGTCGGGGGACGCTCAGAGCCGCCTGCAGCCGGAGGAGACGTGGAAGGACTCGGGCGGGGCGGGCCCTACAGATGCCCGGTTTCTAACATGTTTCTGTTGCTTTAAGTCACCCGGTGTGTGGCCGTCTGTCAGGGCAGCCCCGGGAAGCCGACACAGGTGTTTTGAGCAGGATCCCGGCACGGAAAAAAACGGCAGTAGGGGAAACTCACGAAATCCAAATAAAGTGTGCTGTTTAGAACGCGAGAACACGGGCCCGTGGGCTGTGGGGGCGGCACCACAGTCGTGTCGGGTGTGGACAGCAGCGGAGGCCGGGAGTGGATACATGGGAACTGTGTGTTATTTGTGCAGCCTCTTCGTGAGTCTAACACTCTTCTGAAGCTTAAAAGTTCGTTTCAGAGCTGCGTGGGGAAAATCCCGCACCGACACAGGTGGGGTGTCACTGTCATTCAGCCCGTGATGGCGGCGGCGTGTGTATGTGTGTGGGGGGCGTCCTGTCCGGGACAGCCTGGGCCCCAGCGGGCTGCGTGTACTCGCTTCCCACCACCTCTCCCCGCACCCCGCTGTCCCCTGTCCCATCCCCCCACTTTAACTCACGTGCACGCCTTCTGCCGAATGTGGATCAGTCCTGGCCTCTCACAACCACACGGAGCACCAACGGCATCTGCTTGGAAGCACTCCCGGCTCAGAACCAGTGAGCCCTGAGTTTGGGCAGGACCGGAACCCCCCTTTGGAGGGCGTCTGCCCCTCCCAACTTTCCTGAGAGTTTCTGCGCCCACAGCCTGGAGGTCTCCGTCGTCACGCTTCTTCTGTTCGAGTCCCCAGACTCCACCCCCATGACCACCATGGAAGAACGCCTGACCCAGATGAAGCCAAATCCAGATTCTCAGGGAAGAACTTGGAGTAAAACAACGGAGACGCAGAGCTGAGAGCCGTGTCGCCACCGTGGGGCTGGCCTGGAGCTGGTCTCTGTCCTGCCCCTCCTGCAGCCGCGTCACTCAGGGTTCCCGTGGGTTCCAGGAGAGCCGCACTCTCCGCAGGAATCCCGTCTAACCCGGGCTGCTCACTGTGAGGGGGTCACTCTTCCTCTGCCATCTGAAGGGGACCGACGAGGGGAGCCACGCTGTCGAACTCCCCGTTCCTGCTGGGACCCAGGACTCGTTCGGCATTTACCTGAATGTCACCAGAACAAGAATCTCTGAGCCCTGGCTGGCATAGCTCAGTGGATGGAGCACAGGCTGCGAACCAAAGCATTGAAGGTTTGATTCCCAGCCAGGGCACATGCCTGGGTTGCAGGCCATGACCCCAGCAACCGCACATTGATGTTTCTCTCTCTCTTTCTCGCTCCCTTCCCTCTCTAAAAAAATAAAATAAAATCTTAAAAAACACACACAAAAAATACCCCCCAAGAATCTCGCTGTGTCCCTGCACACCCCATTTCCTGCTGGGCAGCCCCACTTCTTAGATGGTTTTCTTGATTTTGCATCCAAAAGTGTTGCCTTTTCATCCCAGTTTTGCCATTCTGGGCCATCTTTCTTGTTCTTTTTTTTTAAATTTGTATACCAAAGTCATTCTTGCTCGTGACTTTTAAGAAGTCAGATCGCACAGAAACCTTACAGAAAGGTGGTGGTCCCTTTTCGGCAGGGCTGCCCCTCGCTGGTTTGGAGACGGTGACCGTCGGGCTTTGGTCTCTGAGCCGGGCGCCGGGGTGGTCCTCTCGTTCCTCGCACGGGGCGCGGGGATTTCAGACTTTGCCCAGACCCGGTTCCCAGTTGTTCTGCGCTCAGGTGTGGGTAGTTCGTGAGTCCCAGGCAAGTGCAAGACTGAAGCCGGAACACGGGGTGGTGAACAGGATCTCATGGGTGTGACCAGAGGCCCTGCGGAGGGCACAGGTTGAAGGCGGCCTCTGGGAGGCATGCGCAAGAGGCAGGCCAGTGAGGGGAGGGGAGTGTGAAGACGCTGCCTGCCCGTTTCAGGAATCCGCAAAGCCGAGGGCTTGCCTGCTGAAGGCGAAGCGTGAGGAGTTGTCACTGAGGGAGAGAAGGGGAGGAAGTCGGCCAGAGATAAGATATGAGGCCAGAGGCAGGAGAGGGGCGGGTGGGACCTCTTGGGTGGGGCCTTCTGCTGGGGCTCCTGCTTACCCACCATGAAGAACGCAACAGGTTCCTAACTTGTCCCGGGTGGGTGGGGGGGTGCTTCCCATCCCCAGAAATGGAGGGGACTTCTGCTCTGGGCCAAGTCCTGACAAGGACTGGAATGCTGGAGTGGAGTCCTCACCCCAGCAGGGACCTCGTGAAGGGGCAGCCGGCACGGCCGGGCACTTCTGCCCTGGAAGACAAAGGCGTGCAGGAAGGAGACTCCAAGAGTCAAGTCCTCTCTTGAGCGGAACTCTCGTTCTGATATGGCAGAGCGAGGAAAGAAAGGCAGAGGTGACAAAAGAAATCAACATGTCTATAAATGAACATAGACAGGAACCTGGTTTGTAAGTTGAGAATTTTAAAAAAACAGACACCAAAGTCTGGCCAAAGGACCTGTGATGCAGCAGAGGAAAGGCACCTTGGTGGTCCTGCAGTGGTCATTTCCCTTTACTAACAACGGACTGTCTAGATGGGCCACTGGCCACCCGGCATCAAGACTACGTTTCCCAGACTCCCTTGCAGCTAGGTGTGGCCATGTGACTAAGGTCTAGTCAGCCTCTAGTGTGAGCAGAAGTCAGCCTCTGGATGCCCTTAATGAAGGGGTCAGCAAACTTTGTCTTAGAGGGCCAGAAAGTAAATGTGGTAGGTTCTGTTCGCCACGTTATATTACCTCTGTGGCAACCGCTCAACGTAGGCAGTATGTAAGCACATCGCAGTCGCTACGTTCCAATAAGACTGAGTTCACAAAAACAGGTGGCCAGCCCACAGGCTGCAGTGAGCTGGCCCCTGGCCCCCGTCCATTTCGCAGTTCCGCTCCATGCCAGTTGGATCACAGGTGAGACGGTGAGCTCACTCGGACCGTGGAGGCAAAGGCGACGCCCTGGGGACGCGGCAGCCGCGAGCCAGGAGGAGCCTGGGCTCATGGCACCTTTGTACGGCAAGGCTGCGGTGACAACGCTGTGTCATTATTTGGGATCTCTGGTGCACACACAGCCAGACCGTGGACAAGAAAAGCAAGACAGACGGTCTTCTCCTCTTCCCTGTGGGGTTCCCAATGAACAAATGGGGAATTATTATTAACTGGGGGCCCACGCCCTGGTTCTCCGGCATCCCTGGCTCTCTGGAAGCTCACTGCCCTGGAGCCCTACCCGGCGCCGCTCCCTCTGACAAAGTCCACCTCTGAAATGTGCCGCCCGCTGGCCACCCACACCTGAGGGAGGGAGGAAGGAGAGTCCTGACACACACGTGAGGAGGTGCAGGGCAGGAGCGAGC